CCCATTAGATTTCTAGGCTTAAATCATGAGATTAAGGGTAGAAAATTTGGGTAGAGTTAGGGCTTTTTGATTAATTGTGATTTAGACCTCGTTTTGGGGTCGAATTTTGGAAATAATTATATATTTGGGCTCGTGGGTGAATGGGGGATTTGATTTTGGTCCGAACCTTGTGTTTTGACCAAGCGGGCCCGGGGTCGATTTTTGGTTTTTTGGGAAGAATGATTAGAAAACTATAATTAAGCATTGGAATTGGATTGTTTAGCATTTATTGATGTTATTAAGTCAATTATGTATAGATTCAATTGGGTTGGAGCCGAATTTGAAGGAAAAGCGGTGTTTGAGGCTTGAGTTGGCCGTGGAAGTTCGAGGTAAGTGTTTGGTCTAACCTTAGCTTGAGGGATTAGGAGTTGAGTCCTATTTGCTATGTGGTAATTGTTGAGTACGACGTATAGGCATGGTGACGAGTATCTATACGTTGGTGTCTAGCATGACCGTGAGTCTTTAAATTGTGAATATCTTGATTTCGTTGTATCTTTCATGCCTTGGTGATGATTTCTATTTGTTGTGAAAAGCTTGTGGAAGGAAATTGTGACCTTTGAACATCGAGGAGCATTGGCTCAAGTTATATTGCAAATTGTGAAAGTATATGAGATGATTGAACCCTTTGGAGCATTGGCTCAAGTAGTAAAGTGAGTTATGAATTAAAAGTGAAAGAAAGAGAAAGAGTTATTAAATCGTTCCCTTGCCGGGATATTGTTGCTTGTTGATTATCTCCCTTGCTGGGATGTTGAGATTATTGATATTTTTCCCTTGCCGGGATTTAATTGTTTAATTGTGTTCCCTTGCCGGGATTTCTATCATTATTTTGTTTATTTCCTTGCCCCTTTGTTTGTGATTGTTGTTTGGGTGAGGAAGAGTGTTAAAGCACGAAGGGTGATGCCGTGCATTGTTGCTATTGTGAGGAAAGAGTGTAAAGCACGAAGGGTGATGCCGTGCCGTACGATGTACCATTCCGTACCGATTTTCATTGATTACATGGTAAGGAAAGAGAGTAAAAGCACGAAGGGTGATGCCGTGCACATCGTTATTATATGATTGATTTGGTGAGGACGAGAGTAAAAGCACGAAGGGTGATGCCGTGCAAATTGTTGATTTCTGATTCTTGTTGATATTCTAGTTATGTTGTTTCTTTCCTTACTTGATGCTTTCTATTCGGAACTGTTATCTCCCCCGCAGCATGTTTCCCCCTCCCACATTGACTGGTTATTTTCTGTATTTCATTTCCGCTGTATATATATATATATATATATATATATATATATATATATATATATATATATATATATATATATATATATTTGAANCCCCTCCCATTTTGACTGGTTATTTCTGTGTCTCTTTTCTGATGTGTGTGTGTGTGTGTGTGTGTATATATATTTATATATATATATATATATTTGAACTGCACATGTTTATTTGGTAGTCTGGTCCTAGCCTCGTCACTACTTCACCGAGGTTAGGCTAGACACTTACCAGCACATGGGGTCGGTTGTGCTGATACTACACTCTGCACTGTGTGCAGATCCAGGAGCAGCTTTCGGACAGTAGTTGGAGGGCTTCCTTCAGTCCACCCGGAGACCCAAGGTAGACCTGTAGGTGTCCGCAGGCCCTAGCGTCTCCCTCTATCTCTATTCCCTGTTTCATTTTCCTTGTTCAGGAACAGTTTATCTTATTTTCTTCAGACCTTGTATGTAGTGAATCTTAGACAGTCTGTGATACTGTAACACCAGATTTTGGGTATTTGAGGTTTTAGAAGTTGTAATAAGCGGTGATTCCAGATATTTTATCGTTACCTTCCGCTTAATTATTTAAAGTTCTGCTGATTTCATGTTATCGTTTATATTTGTTAAAAAGAAGTAATTTGTTAACGAAGTAAGTAGTTAAGTTTTGGCTTGCCTAGTTCCCAATAGTAGGCGCCATCACGACTCCCGAGGGAGGGAAATCCGGGTCGTGACAAGTTGGTATCAGAGCTCTAGGTTACATGGGTCTCACAGTTCACAGTCAAGCTTAGTAGAGTCTGAGGGATCGGTATGGAGACGTCTGTATTTATCCCCCAGAGGCTACCGAGTTAGGAAAGAAATCTCACATTTGTTCTTTCTTGTCGTGCGGTTTGGTTTCTCAACGCTAATTGAATTTCTACTCTGTTCTTTCGCAGATGGCGAGAACACGCGCTTCCTCATCTACCGATCAGTAGCCCGAGCCCCCAGCAGCAGCTCCCGCGAGGGGAAGAGGGCGAGTCCGAGGCCGTACTAGAGGCCGAGGTAGGGGCAGAGCTCAGCCCCGAGCAGCAGCACCAGCAGCGGATCCTCAGGTTGACTTTGATGACGAGGTTCCGACTCCAGTAGTTCTGGTGGGCCCAACTCAGGTCCCAGAGGGGTTTATTGATCAGGCACACTTCGAAGCGGAATCTTCATATCCTTATCAGTTATCTTCCTCCTCCTGGCTCGACTAATATCCTCTTCCTCTGTATATCTGATAGCATACACACACGAACCTTGATTGACGAACTCCCAAGACTGTGGACTATCTGGAACCTCAGAAGAGCAGGTGTCCGCAAATACCCTGACATAGTCTTGAGCCTAAGGGGAACCCGGTTGTACCAATTCGTGCACCATTCTCCTTATACCCTGATCAACGGGCCCTGATAATGAAACTAAGGGCCTTGGTGAGGTCGGAACTCCTCTCATCCCATCTGTTGCCTGCGAACCCTGCAAGTTCCACATTTGCGAGGCTTTCATCGCAATTGCGATTAGAAGCTGGGCTATACAGTCTTCGCAATTCTGAAGATTTCTTCGCATTTGCGAAGTAAAGCTGGGAAGGGAAGTGATCGCAAATGCGATCATTTTTTCGCATTTGCGGAGGTTCATTTTCGCAATTGCGAAGGCAGCACAGATGTGAAGGACCTCGCATTTGCGATGGTCCCTTCGCATTTGCGAACTTCGCAATTGCGAAGATCAGGCCGCAATTGCGACATCTGCAGCTGTGTAAAAGGGTATTAGACGGGATTTTTGATTCATTTCCCAAATTTTCAAAACCTAAACCTCAAGAGGCGATTTTGCAAAGGCCATTTCTTCCCCAAATCATAGGTAAATAATTCTTAACTCATTTCTTTCAATCATTCACTTCTTACAACAAGATTTCAACCTAGAATCTAGGATTTTCATGGTGGAATTGTGGATTTTTGGGTAGAGGCTAGGAATTTCGAAGTTTGGGGATTTAGACCTCAAATTGAGGTCGGATTCCAAAACCAATTGTATATCCGGGCTCGGAGGTGAATGTGTAATCGAATTTTGGTGCGAATTTCGGGTTTGGACCAAGCGGGCCCGGGTGTTGACTTTTATTGACTTTTTCAAAAATGCCCTAAATTGAGTTCCTTGCTATCATGGGTAGTTCCTAAGGCTTAAATTGAATTGTTTGGTTGATTATTTACTAGATTTTATTGGTCCGGAGGCTTCTATGAACGGAAAAACGGTGATTGAGCCTTGAGTTTGGCCGAAGGAGTGAGGTAAGTGTTGTGGCTAACCTTAGCTTGAGGGATTATGTATTATTTGCTTATTTGCTACGTGTTTGGATGTTGAGTGCGACGTATAGGTGAGGTGACGAGTATCTATACGGCATTGTCGAGTCATAACATGTGAGTGAGCTTTATTCTTGGAAATGTTATATTTTTGATCATATTGTTCATGTGTGGACTAGTTAATCGATGTGTTGAGAAGTTTCTTATCATGTTTTATGGAATTTGGTATTGATGGGGTTTTTTTTACCCAAAGTTGAGATTGGTATTGTGGAACTAAGTGTTGAAGTAAGACTTGTTGTTGCCATTTCTATCTCTCTATTGTTGTTGTCTATTTTTGAGTGAGGTAGAGTGATAAAGTACGAAGGGTGATGCCGTGCATATTTCAATTATTTATGTGGTGAGGAAGAGTGATAAAGCACGAAGAGTGATGCCGTGCACATTTCTATTATTCACATGGTGAGGTTGAGTGGTAAAGCATGAAGGGTGATCCCGTGCACGTTTCTATTATTGATTATCTGGTGAGGTTGAGTGTAAAAGCACGAATGGTGATGCCGTGCATTTTCCTTTTGCTGTGTTTACTTGTTATTACCGGTTCAAAGTGTACTAGCTGTTTAAATTCCTCTACTGCTGTGATTCTTTATTTTGGTACCCTTTAGAATGTTTCCCTCCCGTTAATATCTACTTATCTTCTGTTAATTGTTATTTCTGTTAGCATATTGTTTAACTGCACAGGTTTATGTATGTGTCTTGTCTAGCCTCGTCACTACTTCCCCGAGGTTAGGCTTGGCACTTACCAGTACATGGGGTCGGTTGTACTGATACTGCACTCTGTATTTTCTGTGCAGATTTCGGTACTGGACCGTGTTGACCGAGTTGCGTTGCTGCTTCCAGACCCACAGGAGACCCAAGGTAGATCTGCCGGCATTCGCAGACCCTGGAGTTCCCTTCCAGCTATTCTAGTTTACTTTTTCTTTTAGTTCAAAACAATTGTACTTTCTTTCGGCCAGTATTTGTAATGACTCTTAGAAGTTCGTGAATTATGACATCGGTTTCTGGGTAGTTGTGTATAAGCACTTGAGTTATTATGAAATTCTTCACTCTTTAATCTGTTTTATATTTAATTGCTGTTATTTACTGATTTGATGAAGGGTTAGTGTGTTAAATCTTTAATCGTTGGCTTGCCTAGTATTCGAAAAGTTAGGCACCATCACGTTCCGACGGTGGAAAATCCGGGTCGTGACAACATACACCAAAAATACTTTAAGAAAATATAAATATGTAATTAGATCACATTCATTTTGAATCCACTAACTTTAGACCCTAAATTTGCTTTGATTCGAAGTACAATCTCAAGACACATATTTGCAGTTCTCTCATGTTGATAAGGAAAAAGAAGCAGAGCAACAAATATCGTGGTCATATATAGTAGTAAGTTTTTGACATTTGATTAAATCCTCGTTTTCTTTAAATAGTAAGTTATGATACATAGATTTCATCTTTCATTAGTCTTCCCTACAAATGTCAAAAATAAATAAAACTTATGTCTTTTTTTTTTTTTTTTGGATAACGTGCATATGTTTAACTTATGTGCATATGCACATTAGAGTCTTATAGAATTATCTATATAACATACTCTTTTAGAACAATATAACTGAAACTAAATCAGTCATATTTCACTAACTTGAGCCTTCTTTTTCAATAAATTATTTTCATTTTGTTTGCTTTGGTGGCCTCCTGAATAACCATACTCAGAACTGAATTCACTGCTTGAGGAAGAAGGATTGAGTCCATAATCACTTGTAGCTCCATATTCACTGCTGTTAAAGTCTTGGCTTGTCATTACCATTTGCCTAAACTTCATCATATCAGCATTGTATGCACGAGTATCGTAAATATCAGATGCCGCCCCATTGCCAAAGTTAGCTGTATTTTTGCCAGGTTTTTCATTCAAGTCCTCCAATGATGAATCACCATCCAAGGCACGTACTATCTGATCATAATAATTAATAATTTGTGTGTAAGTAAATGTATTACTATCTCTCAGTTTACAACAACAACAACATACCTAGTGTTTCCATAAGTGGGGTCTAGGGAGGGTACTATATACGGAAACCTTACCCCTACCTTATGAAGGTAGAGAAATTGTTTCCGATAGACCCTCGGCTCAAGAAAAGTATGCATCTCTCAATTTTAATCATAGGAAGAAATACTGATAACTAATTTCATGTATGGTTACCCGTACGTTATCCACTGAGATATCTAATAAGCTTACGATAATTTTTTATCACATTAAAGAAATTGAACTATGTATATAGCATTCAGAAAATACAGATAACAGGAAGGTCAAATTTCCGGCTCAAAAAATACAAATGACAAAAAATAAAAAAAGTCACTGTGTAAAAATTTGATTACCTATGTTTTATAAATCAAAAGATAATTGAAAAAGCATAAAAATGAAGAATCAAAAAAAACAAAAACAAAAAAATAGAAAAAGAAAAGATATTTACCATGATCATGAAATTTGACCTTCTGGTCATTTATATTATTTGAGCAATTCATATATAGTTCAATTACTTGAATGTGACAAAAATAGTTATGTGATTTTACTAATACATGGTTAAGTTCCGTTACTTTAATATGACAAATTTTGACTTTTGTACCCCATATTGTAGAGTGAATCTCGAAAGATATAAAAATTTTCCCTCCAAGTCGACATACGACTTTTATAGAATATGCCTTTCCGCAGAATTCTATATGTATCTATGAAATCGAGTATGGAATTCTGTTTACTCACTTTAAATTGAGTATCCCAAAAAATAATTTGGTAAATTTACTATTATACTAATAAATAGAGTTTAGAGGACTTGCCTGGCTCATTCTTGGACGTCTTTTAGCAGAATGGCGAACGCTAGCAGCAGCACAAGCTACCATCCGATGCAGCTCATCGGGATCAAATTTTCCTTCTAGTCGCGCGTCTACCAGTTCATCGTATTGATTCTCTTCCAATGCTTTTGTAAGAAAGGGTCTAGCCTGAGGAAATAGTACAAAATTATCAGTTACAATATGAATAAAAGAAGGCATTTATTATTTTTGTCCCGGCTGCCCAAAATAATTGGGAGATATTCAAAAATAGCCAGATTTACAAGTGATAATTGAAAAATAGCCACAATTTCAAAAGTAATCGAAATTTAGTCACTTTTCATGTAAAGATAAATCTGGACGAAAACACTGTTCAAAATCTGAAAAATATTCCAGCATAATATACTGGTCCAACATAATATGCTGGAAGTTCATACACATGTGCTCCAATCTCCAATATATTATGCTGGAACTTTCCGCATGTTGGAGTTACAGTAAAATATGCTGGAAGTTCATATACAGGTGCACCAATCTCCAATATATTATGCTGGAAATTTCCGTGTTTCAGCAAAATAATAGCTATTTTTCAATGACTTTGCAACCGCTGGCTATTTTTCAATTACCAGTCCAAAAACTGGCTAGCCCATGCTATTTTCACAAAATAATTATAAGCGGTAGCCCAAATATATATATATATATATATATATATATATATATATATATATATATATATATATATATATATACTGACTATTATTTTTTGGACAACCCAAAAATGTATTTATCCCCGTAAAATATGGTCATTTATAATGCAGGGGAATTAGGAAATTAATATAAAGAACAAATTACCCAGTCTACTAGGCAGTCTTCCATGAGTTTATTGGTAGTGTCCAGAGGTCTCCTCCCAGTTATGAGTTCCAATAGCATGACTCCAAACGAAAACACATCCGACTTTTCTGTTAGCTTACCACTTGATGCATATTCTGGCGCTAAGTACCTATTACATAGCAAAATGATCTTCTTGATTAGATATTCTAGTCTGCAATGTTCATTTTATGTGATGGTGTTTGATAAAAGTTTAAGATACAAAGAAATATTTACTTTTGACACAAACTAAATACAATGAATTCTACTAGCTTTTCACAAAGCCCCCGAGAAAAGTAAAATTAAACTGATTTTAAGCACACTCAAGACTGCTCAAATTTACATTAGTGTAATGAGAGTTTAAATTATTAACCTGGCAAATCACTAAATTCTGATAACAAGTTATGGAAATTAAAAATTTAAGCAGTATTAATTCGCTCTAGCTTAATATCGCATGTAATAAATAGAGAAAAGTACTCCTTATTATTATTCGGAGATCTCAGATTCGAGCTTTAGGTATAAAGTCGCTTTTGTAAGGAAGTACTTTACCCCTACGTGGGACTTTCCGGCACGAATGCGGATTTAGCCAGATCCTAATAATGATACTGAACATTGAGATGAGAAATTAACTTTAGAAAACTAGATAAAAGTAATTTTAGACTCACCCAAAAGTTCCCATAACACGGGTCGACACATGAGTATTGGTGTCTTCTGTGAGTTTAGCCAATCCAAAATCTGCCACCTGATAAACCGTAAAAAAAATTTCTTCTAAATCCTAGTTCAATATGAAGGTTAACACTATAATATTGGAGGTCTATACTAAAAGAATTATTCCCTAATATTTTTTGCATATCCAAAAAACAAATGTCTCAATTTACCATAGCTTCATAATTGTTATCAAGTAGAATGTTTGCAGCCTTGATGTCACGGTGGATAATGCGAGGATGACCTGCATGTACAAAGCAAAGAGAGAATTAGAAAGAAAGAATATTTATATGATTTTACTATTATAATAGATGAAATTTAACTATATCAATAGAAAAAATAATAATTATGTGACATTACTCACATCGGGTAAAATTCAGTTATTTTATAAATAGAAAAGGAAGGGTAAAAAAAACATACAATCTTCGTGGAGGTAAGCCAGTCCCTTGGCTGATCCCAACGCAATTTTAAGCCTTGTTTCCCAATCCATAACAGGTCGACCTTTGCCTGCAATGGTACATTAGCAAGAATTTGATTTCACATTTTAAAGTTAAGAGATTTTTATACGTAAAAATATGTTATTCTTTGTTGAATGAACTAAAAAAAATAAAAGAATATTATATGAAATACTCCCACCGCTATCACAACGATTCTATAAGTTTTTTTTGAAATAAAATTTATATATTTAAAATTAAATAAATAATAATACAAAATATTTAAACCTATGTTGCGCGGACTCTCCAAAATGTTGCCGCACCCGTTTCGAATTCTCCAAAAATACACTACTTTTGGAGTATCCGACACACACCCAGCAATATTTTCGGAGAGTCCGAACAACATAGATTTAAACTATGGTCCAAGAAATGCCTTTTTGACTCTCCAAATAGTAATATTGTCATATAAAATGGAACAGAGTTGAATAAGAGGGAAAGTACCATGAAGATGAAACTCCAAGGTTCCATTAGGAACAAATTCATAGACCAACATTCTTTGTCCATCAGCAATACAAAATCCAACAAGAGAAACAAGATGCCTATGATGAACTCTGCTAATAATCTCAACCTCAGCTTGAAATTCTCTTTCACCTTGTCCACTCCCAGATTTCAAACTCTTTACAGCAACAATACATCCATCAGTCAAAATACCTTTGTGTACAAACCCAAATCCTCCTTGTCCTAACAAATTAGCTTGTGAAAATCCACCTGTTGCTGTTGCTAAGTTCTCATAAGTAAACTGAATTTTTGCAAGTCCACCAAGATTAGGTGATTTTGGTGGTATTGGAACCCCAGGTATATGGCTTGAATAACCTGAGCTATATTCACTGCTCGTGTTAGCGGCCGGAGGCGGTGGCGGCGGGGCCCACCCGCGTGGTCCTTCTAGAGGAGTTCCCATTACACCTGGTGGTGGAGCTAGCTTAACAATGTGCTCAGTATTTGGTAGAGGGCTAGTTGAATAATTTGCGGTATTGTAGTAAGGATCACCACCTACACTAATGCCAAGAATTTGCAGTTGTTATTCAGAACAGGAGTTGATTTACGTTATATACACTAACAGTATAACGATGACTTACTTTGGTAATAGCAAGAAAAGCAATATAAATGCTTGTAGCAACAACTAATTATATGAAATTGGAAAGACCGATCGAGCTATATAATTCAACGTACCATGAGGTGGACGTGCAGGATCCACATAGTAAGGTTGTTTTTTCTTCTTTCTATTGCATAATAGGCAGACAATGACAAGTGCAAGAATCAATAAACCTGCCACAGCTATTGCAGCTACTATTACCACATTTGAGGTAGATGAGGAATTATTAGATGGTGGCGAGTTATTGCTTCCTGAGGAACCATGTGATTTATTTGATGGTGCATCTCGCGAAGGTGGAGAAAGTGGAGGAGGAGTTAACTTTTCAGGAGGAGGTAGAGGTGATTGTGGAGAAACAGGAGGTGGTGGAGAGAATATAGGTGACGGAGGAGAATTAGGTTGAGTAGTTGAGGTATTTTTGGGAGGAGGGGGTGTTGTGTTCGTGGTGGGTGTTGGCGGTGAGGGTGATGAGGGTGGTGGTGATTCCGTAGGTGTATCAGAAGGAGGAGGAGGCGAATCAGATTTCGGTGGTGGAGGAGACTCCGCGGGTGGTGGGGGAGGAGATTCTATAGGAGGTGGTGGTGATGCAGGAGGAGGAGAATCAGATTTCGGTGGTGGTGATTCGGGGGATGGAGGAGGAGGAGAATTGTCAGATTTCGACGGTGGCGCTTCAGGAGATGGGGGCGGTGGTGAAGAAGGAGGAGGTGAAGAGGGAGGAGGTGAAGAAGGAGGAGGAGAAGAAGAAGGAGGAGGAGGTGAAGAATCAGGAGGAGGAGGAGGAGGAGGAGAAGATGAAGGAGGAGGCGAAGACTGAGGAGGAGAAGACTCTGGAGGAGGAGGAGAAGACAAAGGTGGCGAAGGAGGAGAAGATGAAGTAGAATTGTCCATATTCACCGACGATGAACTTCCGGCCAAGATTGAGCGTGAACATACACGCAACCGCCGGAATATCAACCTTTCCCGTTAACTATTTGTCTCAACAACTCCCTCAATGCCCCTAATAGATTGCCATGCAAAGAAAGAAAAAAGATTACCTTGGCATTGTAAAAGAAAAAAGTGGTAGCTGCATCATTTATTTGCATGTAAAAGAACAAATCAGGGCTATACAATCTTTAAACTCTGAAATTAATTAATTTGTTATGGAGTTTTGTAGTAAAGTAAAGGAAAATGAAACACAAAAATAGAAAACATGTACCTGAATGAAGACCGAGAAAGAAGGGTTCTCAAAGGGGAAAAGAGAGAGAAATCTTTATTGGGGCAATGTCATTTTTCCCTTCACAGGGAGAACGTCTCTTACCCCTCCTCTCTCTCTTCCTCTCACTCAAATATCTTTGGCTTTTAAACACCTCTAATTTGGGAGAATGTGAGGTGACCTTATTCTTTTATGACCTGACAATTGTCATTAATTTTCTAGTTAGACTAAGGTTGTTTTACTTGTAACTCTAGTTTATCCTTACTCCATGGTGAAGTCGGAATATTTGGAAGAAAAAAAAAGGAGAAAAAAGAATTAGGGATAGTCAATTTTTTTTTTTTAAAAAGGCGGGTGCACAAGGTATTCCGCGTTCACACAAGTCCGGAGAAAAGGGCCGCACCCAAGGGGTCTAATGTAGACAAGCTACCGTAATGTAAATATATATTAATGGCTACTTCATGTTCGAACCTGTGACCTATAGGCCACACAAAGTCAACTTTACGTGTATTGGCTGTATAAAACTTATATAGCCTCTCGTTTTCGATATAAAATCGTGCATAATTAATTATAATCTTCATATAACTAATATAACATTTGGTTTTCAATATTAAGCTACTTAGTTATGCAGGTTATGATGCTTGAATCTTAATGTTGTATTATTAATTTCGGTGCGACTTATATGATAATCTATATGTTATTTTATACTGGATAAAATACGTGGATCTATACGAGTGTCTAAAGAGAAAATTTCCTTAAATTAGACAATCCTTTACATGATGATCCATGTATATTATTCACTGCTTAATAATCTTCGCGTTCTTATTAATTACATATATATATCTATCTTATTATTATTGTTGTTGTTATTGTGTTTACCTCATAAACATTTCGTAAATTATAATCTTGTATACCTAGTACCATTTTTACAAAGGCGAAATTCGTTATAATGTGTTTCAGGTCTATCAGAGAATTAAATGCAAGCAAAATTAAAATGCAGACTTTAGTTTAAAAGGTGCAACAAATTCAAAATAAAAATATAAAAAAGTAACAATTTCATTCATAATAATTTCCTCAGCAAGTAATATATATTTTTATCAATCATATTTCTAAATCCTAAACCCTCAACTAATAAGGTTCGTATTTCTCAACATGTTGTTTTTGATGAAAATATTTTTTTTTAAACTCTTTCTAAAGAAATGTTCATACAGGAAAATTTAGAAGTCGCAACATTTTCATATTCAGATGCATGGAGAAAGAGAGATATTAACTTCAAAATTTAAAAAGGGAGTGCACCGCGATCGAAAGCTACTAAAGAAATTGATATACAAATTTAAAAGGGAGATCGTGCACTCTATGTGATTAAGATCATGTTATCAAATCTCAAAAAGAAAATAAGAAGAGAACTCAGATGTACGATACAGAGTCAGAAAATAACACAATGCTGGAACTCAATGTTGACTTGGATAATACAACAGAAAATCTAAAAACTCATGCAACAGAAAGCGAACAACTCCTGTCAACAACAAAATCAGAATCATTGAGTGTCACGACCCGAAACTCAACATGTTGTGATGACGCCTATCATGATACTAGGCAAGACGACAACTCATACATACCAACACTTTTAAATTCAAAATATACTAAAACAGGTTTAAATAAGTAAAAATCTCATAAAACTGATAAAAACGTCACAACTCAATACAGATGTAATGACCCGGCCGGTCGTTTCATGTGTTACCGCTCTGTTTCCCCCATTCCAGCTTCTTATTGCCTTGTTTAGCTGTATTATGTGCTATCGGGTTGGTTGGCTCGGGTTCAGAGAGGTTTTGGTAAGCTTTAGTCTCTTTTGAGTAAGCTTAATTAGTTGGAAACGTCAACCGGATGTTGACTTATGTGAAAAAGGGCTCGGATGTGAATTCCGATGATTCAGATAGCTTCGGGAGGTGATTTGGGACTTAGGAGCGTGATCGGAATGTGTTTTGGAGATCCCGGAGTAGATTTAGGCTTGAATTGGCGAAATGGAAATTTTGGCGTTTTCCGGTTGATAGGTGAGATTTTGATATAGGGGTCGGAATGAAATTTCGGAAGTTGCAGCAGGTTCGTTGTGCCATATGTGATGTGTGTGCAAAATTTCAGGTCATTCAGACGAGGTTTGATGGACTTTTTGATCAAAAGCAGAATTCAGAAGTTTTTGGAACCTTAGGCTTGAATCCGATGTTATTTGGTTAATTTCGGGATTTTTGTTGTAATTTGATTCTTTTCACATGGGCTTCGTTCCCTTAGAATATTTTGACGTCATGATTCTGATTTTTGATAGATTCGACGCGAGTTGAGGCCGAGGCGAGAGGCAAAGGCATCGCGGGCTAGAGTTTCGACCGGATAGAGGTAAGTAATGATTGTAAATGCTGTCCTGAGGGTATGAAACCCCGGATTTCACATTGTTGTGCTGCTTTGAGGTGATGCACACGCTAGATGACGAGCGTGGGGTCGTGCACCTTTGGGGATTGAGACTTAGTCCGTCCCGTATGACCGTTTAACCGCGTATTTGATTGAAAACTTTTTGCTATCATTGCGTTTTGGAAAGTATTATCATGTTTTGGGTTGAATGCCATATTTGGGCCTCGTGCCAACTGTTTTGGACCCTTAGGGGATTTTTACTACTATTCCTCATTGTTTTGACCTCGTATTTATACTCAGTCATGAGGCCGAGGGCCTGTGTTGTGAGGATACTATGGGATCGGGCTGCGCGCCGCTGCAGTGTTATACTGATTCATGATTATGAGGCCGAGGGCCTGATTGTTACGCCACGAGGTGGCTTGATATGAGTCCGAGAGCCTGTTTGATTATGCCACGAGATGGCTTATTATTGCGCTTGGGCTGTAAGGAGCCCCTCCAGGAGTCTGTACACCCCTAGTTAGCGCGGGGTACCCAGTGTGAGATGTGATATTGCCCGAGGGGCGGTTGTTGTTCATGTTATTGCTCGAGGGGCTGATACGAGTGATTGTGAGATAGCTCGAGGGGCTGGTTCTGTTGGTATTTTGCCCGAGGAGCTGATTTATGTTTCTATCCTTTTCTCCCTGTTTTCATCACTGGTTTGAACTACTGAAAGATGTTTTAAAGAGGTTTTCATTGAACTAAGGTGTTTTTATGAGCTTTTACTGTTTTATTGCATTGTTCTGGTTTATACTGCTTTGCTGTAGCATTATGCTGTGTTTTATGTGTTTTCTTATCGCTCAGCTGCCTTTACTTTTATTACTTACTGAGTTGGCGTACTCACATTACTCCCTGCACCCTGTGTGTAGATTCAGGAGTCTCGGGTCACGCTAGCGAGGGCTGATTTGCTTTCCACCAGGCTTGTTCGGAGTTGACTAAGTAGCTGCTCGGCGTTCGCAGCCCAGTGCTTCTCCTTCCTATCTTTATTTAACTTGTTCTAGCTTTGTATTAGACTATGTTGTCTTTTCATACTCTTAGACGGATTTTAGATGTTCATGGCTGGTGACACCCTGATGTCGGGTTGTGTTTGTTTCCGCACTGTTCTATTCTTTTATTTTGCAATTTATAGCTTATTAATGACTTAAAATGAATTATTATAATTGCTTAGTTGGTTTGGGGGTTTGTGTCGGCTGGCCTTATTTCATGATAGGCGCCATTACGACCGGGTCCGGTTTAGGGTCCTGACAAGTTGGTATCAGAGCCTAGGTTACATAGGTCTCACGAGTCATGAGCAGGTTTATTATAGTCTCGCGGATCGGTATGGAGACGTCTATATTTATCCTAGCGAGGCTGCAGAACCATTAGGAAAAACTTCTTATTCTTGAATTCCTGTTGTGCGAATCTGTTGATGCTAGTACTAAACTTCTGTTATTCTATTCTCCCACAGATGGCGAGGACACGCGCTACCGGTCAGGATGGACGACCACCAGTACTACCAGCTAGAACCACGAGAGTCTGAGGATGCGGTCGAGGCCGTGGTAGGGGCAGGGGTGTAGCCCGCACAACAGCTAGGGCCGTACCTGCAGATCCACCAGCAGCCCTAGTTCAGGATCAGGTCCCAATTGTGGACGCTCCAGTAGCACCAGCTCAGGCACCGACCGTGCCTATTGTCATTCCGGGTCTTCAGGAGACCTTGGCCTAGATCTTGACTGTGTGCACTAGTTTTGCTCAGGCGGTCGCAGTTTCTACTACCGCAGCCACTTCTCAGGCCGGGGGAGGCACTCAGACTCCCGCCGCTCGTACATCCGATCAGGTTGTTCGGGGATTGCAAACACCGGAGGCACCACTAGCTCAGCCGCTGGCAGCTGCTCAGTGTTATGTAGCTCCAATTATGCCAAAGGACGAGCAGCGCAGATTGGAAAGGTTTGGCAGACTCCAGCCTCTGACTTTTAGTGGTGCAGAGGGCGAGGATGCCCAGGGTTTCTTGGAAAGGTGCCAGAGGATTCTTCGCACCGCGGGTATTCTGGAGACCAGTGGGGTCGCATTCACTAGTTTTCAGTTTACTGGAGCTGCCTTAACTTGGTGGGAGGCTTATGAGAGGCGTAGGCCTGTTGGTGCGGCGCCCCTTACCTAGCAACAGTTCTCTGCTCTCTTTTTGGAGAAGTATGTGCCACAGTCCCGCAGGGAGGAGCTGTGCAGGCAGTTCGAGCAGTTGCGACAGGGAGATATGACTGTGACACAGTACGAGATTAGGTTCTCAGAGTTAGCTCGTCATGCTATCTGGTTGGTTTCTACGGATAGAGAGATGATTAGGAGGTTCGTTAATGGCCTCACATATCAGCTCCGGATTCTCATGACCAGGGAGAGGGTGTCAGGTGCTACTTTTGAGGAGGTTGTGGATATCGCTTGTGAGATTGAGTCAGTTCGTCGCTAGGAGCGAGAGGAGAGGGAGGCCAAGAGGCCTCGAGGATCTGGTAGTTTTGGGGGTGCTCCTTTGAGAGGTCAGTTTCAGCACGGTAGAGGCCGCCCATTCAGGCATGCTTAGTTAGCTCGCCAGGTTATCGTGGGGCACCATCGGGCCAAGGTTCTCACAGTTCTCAGCAGGTTCATTCCTCACTCAGTGCCACTCCAGCCCAGGGTTCGTCCCGTGCTCTATCAATTCAGGACTCTTCTACGCC